GGATGGATGGATGGATGGATGGATGGATGGATGGATGGATGGATGTTCAAAATGTCTCATTAACTGAAGTTAACTCTGTCTCCATGCCTGATATTTCAGAGAGTAATCACTGAAAGTAATCTCCAAAAAATGGTCGCCAGATAAAATTGAGCTTAATAAACACTAAAACGGTTATAAAATGTGGTGTGGTAGTAGCTGAGCATCGTCCAGCTCTGATGTGAAAGGCAGCGGGTGGTATCCCCTGCCAGACCTTTCACTCTTTTTAATGGTAAAAAAAACAAAACAAAACAAAAAAGCTGCAGTGCAGAGCGTCTGCGCGCGCCCTGACCTTGGTGGGGGTGCATGCTTATCCGTGGTTTTGAAATGAGCATGATAAATTTAGGGAGGGGGGTCGCGCTCAGCTCCGCGGAGCTCCTTGACACTTTTTAAAAGAGTCTCTGCGTTTTGTTACGGCAGGAAACAGGCCCTTCCGCTCCGCATAAACACGCGCCTCTGCGTGGACGCTTTCGGGCTGAGTGGCACGCAAGGACAGCCCGAAGATGAGGACGATGATGATGGTGGTGGTGGTCAGTTTAGCGCTCGAGAGGATGCGCGCGTGCACGTGCGCCTTTGGGGCTGAAAGCTAAGTGAGCCATTAGGCAGATGGGGGGCTGTGAACCGTGACGCACTGACCACGCGCGGTTTGACACAGGATCCCTCCAAGATAATTACTTGTAAACTCTTTAAAATTGAATTTGAACAAAAAATTAAAAATAACTTAATTAATAATTGTAACTGCTGCTGTGCTTTCGCTTTTATATGTATTAAATCATTAGGTGACCAAATTTGGAGCCTTTTGGTGAATGTTATAAGTTGTTTTAACAACAAATTTCTGGAAAATCACCTCCAAATCTGTACAAAATTATTGCTCGTGGTGGTTTACAAAATATGGAAGTGTGCGGGTTTTGTTGGGTCACATCATGCGAGTTCAGATAAAACTAACCATATGGCTCTGCCGTGCGTAAAAGCGCATAATTGGACTAAAAATAAGACCTCTCCTGCAGCTCTCCAGGCCTTTTAAATGCGTTTTTTTTTTTCAGGAAGAAGAGAAGATGGTTCACTAATGTAAACAAGGTCCTGCTGATGGGAGCGGATGAGATTATGGGCACATTCTCTCCTTTTCTTTCCACGCGGTTTAAGAGCAAAAGGCCTTCAGACGCTGGCGCCTGCTGCACTTGGACAGATAGTCGAGAGGTGTCCTGTTTCACCAGGAAGGGCAGGAAAGTGAAAGAAAATCACCACTCTTCTTTTATTATTATTATCATTATTATTATTATTATTATTATTATTATTATTGTTATTATTATTATTGTGCTAGTTTGTTTAAATAAAACAAAGCGGTTCTTTCTCAGTATTGGGTTACATAAAATGGTCAACACGACATGTATTATTTTAAAATTAGCAACTCTCAAATTTATAAAGCCCGATGTAATTATTAGCAGCTCAACATGTTTAAATGATTAAAGTAAAATAAATGTTCTGTTTTTTTTGAGAGATATTAATCAACAACACACAGGCCCTACACAGAAAGTGGAGCAGTAAGTTCAAGCTTTATTCTGTTTTAGATTAATTGGCTTCACAATCTGACTCCTCGTGAAAATACAAACAAATAAACTTCAAATGTCTGTTCTATTTATTAATTTATGAACATTTCTTCTTAAGCGATGTTTAGTGACGCTTTTGATTATTTATGAAACGTTTATAGGAAAAATCAGGAGCTGTGAACAAGTGAACAACAACATGTGAACTGCTTCTAAACAACAACAACAACAAATTGGATAAAAATAAAATAAAACTATTTTAAAAGCTTCCCCGTTCTGGAATATAAAAATAATGCATAATAATAATATTAAAAGTCAAGTCAGATTTATTCATAAAATACATATAAATTAGTGAGGAATTGTAAGTTTCCTTATTGCCAACTTGCTGACAACACTTGAAGAAGAATTTTAGAATGTTATTTTATTGCAACAAATTATGTTATTATTATATTTGTATTTTATTCCGATTGACTTTACGGTAAATAAATCATCACAGAGGTCAAACAATAATAATAATAATAAAAAAACAGTTAATGGGGTTAGTTAATAATAGAAACACGAACCAACAACAACGCGCCTGGGGACCTCTCAGAGTCCGGGGGGGATTCTCTTATCCGTGGATTTGGAGAGACAGGAAACAAAGATATGGCTTATCTTAAAACCACCTCAGTGATGAGGGGAAGAGCTGTGATGATTATTGGACCAGCCAGAAAATAGAAAGCCCGGGTAAAGTCACACATTTATTTAAATGTGACATTAAATTAAGGTCAATTCCGCACATAACAATGTTTGCTTTGATCAACTTGAACAGTCGTTCAAGATTCTTCAAGTAAACAAAGAGCGTGCTATTAAATCTTTCTTACCTACTTCCAGAGGAGTCGATGGCGTCAATAATTTTTTCATAAATTAGAAAAGTCTTCCAAAAGCACAGGTAAACCCAGAAAGAAAGACATGCTCTGTGAGTCCCTCCCCCCACTGAAGGACGTCACTGAAAGGGAGAGGACGGCATGTTGGCTGAGCCAGCTCTTTCTCCAGATAGCTGAATTCAGCCAACCAAACAGGATCGACCTCTCTTTCCCTCTCCCAACCCTCCAGACACGACGCTGCGCCCGGGGAGAGGCATGTCACAGCTGAACGCCAGCCAACCCTCCTCCATCTGCGTGAAAAACAAGCAGAGCGCGAGCCCTTTCCACCTTTACGCACGGGCTTTTGGGTTCTTTTACGCGCCGTTCGGAGACAAAACTCTTCGCTTCTGCTTCTGGTGACCATATTGCGTCATTTGGTGATAATGTTTCCCAGTCGGGTCGCTTCTTCCACCACGCCTTTTTCCGTGAAGGATATTCTGAAGCTGGAGCTACAGCAGCAATCTCAGCAGCACCAGCTCCAGCTGATCTCCTGCTTCGATATGTCCGGTGCGCTGTCGCAGCCCGGAGCCTTCAGCTCCCACTCACCGCCCTCCTGCATGCTGGCAGGCAGAGACAGTCCCAGCCCCATCAGCTCCTGTCTGTCAGAGAGCGAGGAGAGGATGTCGTTCCTCAGCGTCCTGAGCGTCCAGGACCGGCTGACGGAGGCCGGATTACCTCTGGAGGGGTTCGGGAACACGACGCAGAGCCACCCTGCAGACCTGCGGCTGGAGGCCGAGCCGGAGGAGCCTGACAGCAGTGAGGAACACTTTAATTTTTAATGTGTTTAGACAGAAGAGATGCATTACAGAGTGTAAATCAGGACATTGATACAGTTTAAATACCAGAATAATAAATGTGACATGTGAAGCAAATGATTACATGTAACCAGGGCAGCATTTGTTCATGTGAGAACAATAAAACAACCATCAAATGCTGAGCAAATAAATTATTTATTGTACTATTGTAAATATTTGAAGTTATATATCCTACTTGCATGTGACACTCCTTAGAATTAAACTTTTCTTCATAATGAGCTGTTACAATCTGTTTTTATGCTTCAGCATTAAAATGTTTACATCTGGACTGATGTGGATATTTGCACCCACATGAACTCCTGTGAAGGACTTCTCCTCTAAATTAGCTAATTTACAAATTATCAATATTAAAATGGCAAATTTCAAGACATACGTTTAATTTGGTTAATACTTGTTTTAAAATGTGCGTTTTTCTTTATTTAATGCCAATTTTTCTGTTGTTGTTTTTCATAAATGTAAACAAATAATAAATATATAACTAAATATGTACATATTAGTTGATCTATTTTATTTTATTTTTAAAAAGCCGTTTTCTGTCCAGTTTTGGCACTTTACGCACATTAGTCTTGCGCACAAATATCAATAGAAACTAGACCAAAAACAGGGAAATAATTATATATATATTTATAGTTTCAACAAGATATTTTAAGGAGTAATATTAACTAAATCAGAAGTGAGATTATTTGGTTTTTGTGCCAGCAGAGAGCTGCGGCGCGTTGGGAGGAGACTGTGACGATCCAGACTCGGAGAAAGCCGCCGCCAAGCAGCAGAGGACCCGCAGGAAGCCGCGCGTCCTCTTCTCCCAGTCGCAGGTGTTCGAGCTGGAGCGTCGGTTCAAGCAGCAGCGCTACCTGTCCGCCCCGGAGAGAGAACACCTGGCCAGCTCTCTGAAACTCACCTCCACACAGGTCAAGATCTGGTTCCAGAACAGGAGGTACAAATGCAAGAGGCAGCGGCAGGACAAGACTCTGGAGATTGCAGGTCACCACCATCATCACCACCATCACCACCACCCGCCACCTCCGCCGAGGAGGGTGGCTGTGCCGGTTCTGGTGCGAGACGGAAGGCCCTGTCTGACTGGATCTCAGAACTATAACCCTCCGTACACAGTTGGAGCTCCCAGCGCGTACAGCTACAGCGGCTACCCGGCCTACAGCTACAACAACTCGGTGTATTCCAACACCTACTCCTGTTCCTACTCGAGTTTACCCGCGCTGCCTCCCAGCAGCACGCCCGCTAACGCTTTCATGAACATGAATCTGGGGAACCTCGGTGCCCAGACGCAAAGCCAGGCTCCCCAAGGACCGGTGGTCGCCCCCTGCCAAGGAACCCTGCAGGGGATCCGGGCCTGGTAGCTGAGACTGCAGAGGCGCACCAAATGGATGGATGGACATGAACTCCAGCCTCCAATATGAAAGACACTGAATAGTTGACAGGAACATTAAAAGGTCTATGAAGTAACCTTGATCCGCCCATTGAACTAAATAAAACACACGTGTGCATTTATGTTTGAAACTCTTTGAAAATGTGTTGGATTTTATTGTTTCTGGTTAGTTGTGCGTAATGGCGCAAAACGGATGTAAAGTGCCACAAAACAAAAGGAATATGTATGAACATCTCTGAAATAAGCATGCATTTTTAGGCATGAAAGCTAGCATTTGCTTATTTAAGTGTTATTAGAAATAAGCCATTATTATTAATAATCATTTTATAGAACATTGTTGCCAGATTATATTAAGCCACAAAATACAACAAGGTGCGCAGAAATGTGAACGGATATAATAGTATTATTTTTCAAAGTTTTTTATTTTTATTTTTAGAAATAGTTCAAATTTTGTTTATACTGTAAGTTTTTATTTTGAGTGAATCTTGTATTATAGGTTTACTAAATCAGTTTATAGCCTCAATTCAGCATCGAGTCAAGCAACGATGAAAATAATCTTTGATGATGAAGTTAAACAACATAACAAACAAAATGACACAAGTGATTGTAAGATATTGTACTTTTTTGAAAGTTTTACACGTGTCTGGGTGAGTGTTGCTATTTGTACAATAATTATTGGAAACAGGATTAAAAAAAGCGTTTTTTTACAAGAATACAGGAAGCAACTGACAGGGATATATTCCAACATTTCTCATCATCTCGAATAGTTTCTCAAGCCTAAAAGCATGTTGATATATCCCCCCCTGTGAGAAAGCCTGCTTGAGTCTGAGACAAGAACCAGAAGCAGAGAGAATTTAAAGGCGAGCTAAATGTGCGCTTGCAGGATTCAGAGATGGACACAAAGCAGACAGAAAGCAGCACATCCAGGACCCACACACAGCCTGGAAACCACCAGAGAGAGCACCCAGCGATAAATATTACTGAGAGGGACACAAATCTATAGCAATAAAAATAAAAATGTATGCTTTAAAACAATTTGTACAACTCTAAATATTGTTTTCTACATTTTTACGCACAGCCAAGGCCTCCCCACCTGCGCGCGCGCGCACACACACACACACACACACACACACACACACACACACACACACACAC